TCTTTTTATTTTCTGCCATAGTCGGGTTTTGAGTCTTACTCAACTTCACACCTTGCAACACAGGCAAGAACTCCTTATTTGACTATTCCATTTTGAATTACTTCAAAATCTTATCAAGGTATGTACTCATTGAAAAATCTTATCAAGCGTCTTGATCTATCTCTATAGATCTTGATGCTCAATGTGTAAGCAGCTTCACCGAGGTCTTTCTTTGAAAAACTCTTATTCAAGTATCCTTTTATGCTATCCAAAATTTCTATATCATTTCCAATCAAAAATATGTCATCAACATATAGTATTAGAAATGCTACAGAGCTCCCACTCACTTTCTTGTAAATACAGGCTTATCAAAAAGTCTATATAAAACCATATGCTTTGATCACACTATCAAAAAGTTTATTCCAACTCCGAGAGGCTTGCACCAGTCCATAAATGGATCGCTGGAGCTTGCATCCTTCTGTAGCACCTTTTCGATCGATAAAACCTTCTGATTGCATCATATACAACTCTTCTTTAATAAATCCATTAAGGAATACAATTTTTTTTACATCCATTTGCCAGATTTCATAAAATGTGGCAATTGCTAACATGATTTGGACAGACTTAAGCATCGATACGAGTGAGAAAATCTCATCGTGTTCAACACCTTGAACTTGTCGAAAAACCTTTTGCAACAAGTCGAGCTTTGTAGATAGTAACACTACTATCAGCGTTTGTCTTCCTCTTGAAGATCCATTTATTTTCTATGGCTTGCCGATCATCAGGCAAGTCCACCAAAGTCCACACTTTGTTCTCATACATGGATCCTATCTCAGATTTCATGGCCTTCAAGCCATTTCGTGAAATCTGGGCTCATCATCGCTTGCTCATAGTTCATAGGTTCATCATGGTCTAGTAACATGACTTCCAGAATAGGATTACCGTACCACTCTGGTGCGGATTGTACTTTGGAAGACCTACGAGGTTCTGTAGTAACTTAATTTGAAGTTTCATGATCATAATCATTAGCTTCCTCACTAATTGGTGGAGGAATCACTAAAACTGATTTCTGTGATGAACTACTTTCCAATTCGGGATAAGGTACAGTTACCTTATCAAGCTCTACTTTCCTCCCACCCACTTCTTTTGAGAGAAACTCCTTCTCTAGAAAGGATCCATCTTAGCAACGAATAACTTGCCTTCGGATCTGTGATAGAAGGTGTACCCAATAGTTTCCTTTGGGTACTCTATGAAGACACACTTCTCCGATTTGGGTTCGAGCTTATCAGGTTGAAACTTTTTCACATAAGCATCGCAGCCCCAAACTTTAAGAAACGACAACTTTGGTTTCTTGCCAAACCACAGTTCATAAGGCGTCGTCTCAACGGATTTTGATGGTGCCCTATTTAAAGTGAATGCAGCTGTCTCTAATGCATAACCCCAAAATGATAGTGGTAAATCGGTAAGATACATCATAGATCGCACCATATCCAAGTGCGCTTATGACGTTCGGACACACCATTACTCTGTGGTGTTCCATGTGGCATGAGCTGTGAAACTATTCCACATAGTTTTTAAATGAAGGCCAAACTCATAACTCAAATATTCTCCTCTACAATCAGATTGTAGAAACTTGATTTTCTTGTTATGATGATTCTCCACTTCACTCTGAAATTCTTTGAACTTTTCAAATGTTTCAGACTTGTGCTTCATTAAGTAGATATACTCATATCTGCTCAAATTCTCTTTGAAGGTCAGAAAATAACGATACCCACCATGAGCATCAACACTCATTGGACCTCATACATTAGTATGTATTATTTCCAACAAGTCAGTAGCTCGTTCCATTGTTCCGGAGAATGGAGTTTTAGTCATCTTGCCCAAAAGGCATAGTTCGCAAGCATCAAATGATTCATAACCAAGTGATTCCAACAATCCATCTTTATGGAGTTTCTTCATCGCTTTACACCAATATGACCCAAACGACAGTGCCACAAATAAGTTGCACTATCATTATCAACTTTGCATCTTTTGGCATCAATATTATGAATATGTGTATCACTACGATCGGGATCCAACAAACTATTTTCATTGGGTGTATGACCATCGAAGGTTTTATTCATGTAAAAAGAACAACAATTATTCTCTGACTTTTAATGAATAACCGTATTGCAATAAACATGATCACATTCATGCTCAACGCAAACGCCAAATAACATTCATTTAGGTTTAACACTAATCCCGAAAGTATAGGGAGTGTGCGATGATGATCATATCAATCTTGGAACCACTTCCAACACACATCGTCACTTCACCCTCAACTAGTCTCTGTTTATTCTGTAACTCCTGTTTCGAGTTACTAATCTTAGCAACCGAACAAGTATAAAATACCCAGGGGTTACTATAAACACTAGTAAGGTACACATCAATAACATGTATATCAAATATACCCTTGTTCACTTTGCCATCCTTCTTATCTACCAAATATTCAGGGTATTTCTGCTTCTAGTGACCATTTCCTTTGCAGTAGAAGCACTCAGTTTCAGGCTTTGGTATAGCTTTGGGCTCCTTCACGGGAGTGACAACTTGTTTGTCATTCTACTTGAAGTTCCCTTTCTTTCCCTTTGCCCTTTTCTTGAAACTAGTGGTCTTATCAATCATCAACACTTGATGCTCTTTCTTGATTTCTACCTTCGTCGATTTCAGCATCACGAAGAGCTCAGGAATCGTTTTTGTCATCCCTTGCATACTATAGTTCATAACGAAGTTCTACTAACTTGGTGATGGTGACTAGAGAACTCTATCAATCACTATTTTATCTGGAAGATTAACTCCCACTTGATTCAAGTGATTGTAGTACCCAGACAATCTAAGCACATGCTCACTTCTTGAGCTATTCTCCTCCATATTTTAGCTATAGAACTTGTTGGAGACTTCATATCTCTCAACTCGGGTATTTGCTTGAAATATTAACTTCAACTCCTGGAACATCTCATATGGTCCATGACGTTCAAAACGTCTTTGAAGTCCCGATTATAAGCCGTTAAGAATGGTGCACTAAACTATCAAGTAGTCATCATCTTGATCTTAGCCAAACATTCATAACGTCTGCATCTGCTCCTGCAATAGGTCTGTCACCTAGCGGTGCATTAAGGACATAATTTTTCTGTGCAGCAATGAGGATAAATCTCAGATCACGGACCCAGTCCACATCATTGCTACTATCATCTTTCAACTTAGTTTTCTCTAGGAACACATATAAAACATAGGGAAGCAACAACGCGAGCTATTGATCTACAACATAATGTGCAAAAAACTATCAGGACTAAGTTCATGATAAATTAAAGTTCAATTAATCAAATTACTTAAGAACTCCCACTTAGATAGACATCCCTCTAATGATCTAAGTTATCACGCGATCCAAATCAACTAAACCATGTCTGATCATCACGTGAGATGGAGTAGTTTTCAATGGTGAACATCACTATGTTGATCATATCTACTGTATGATTCACGCTCGACCTTTCGGTCTCAGTGTTCCGAGGCCATATCTGCATATGCTAGGCTCGTCAAGTTTAACCTGAGTATTCTGCGTGTGCAAAACTAGCTTGCACCCGTTGTAGATGAACGTTGAGCTTATCACACCCGATCATCATGTGGTGTCTCGACACGATGAACTTTGGCAACGGTGCATACTCAGGGAGAACACTTTTACCTTGAAATTTAGTGAGAAATTGATACGTCTCCGTCATATCTACTTTTCCAAACACTTTTGGCCTTGTTTTGGACTCTAACTTGCATGATTTGAATGAAACTAACCCGGACTGACGCTGTTTTCAGCAGAACTACCATGGTGTTATTTTTGTGCAGAAACAAAAGTTCTCGGAATGACCTGAAAATCCACGGAGATTATTTTTGGAAAATATAGAAAATACTGGCGAAAGAATCAAGGCCAGGGGGCCCACACCCTGTCCACGAGGGTGGGGGGAACGCCCGCTCCCCCTGGGCGCGCCCCCTGCCTCGTCGGCCCCCTGGATGTCCACCGACCTCAACTCCAACTCTATATATTCTCTTTCGCGGAGAAAAAAATCAGAGAGAAAGTTTCATCGCGTTTTACGATACGGAGCCGCTGCCAAGCCCTAATCTCTCTCGGGAGGGCTGGTATGGAGTCCGTTCGGGGCTCCAAAGAGGGGGATTCGTCGCCGTCGTCGTCATCAACCATCCCCCATCACCAATTTCATGATGCTCACCACCATGCGTGAGTAATTCCATCGTAGGCTTGCTGGACGATGATGGGTTGGATGAGATTTACCATGTAATCGAGTTAGTTTTGTTAGGGTTTGATCCCTAGTATCCACAATGTTCTGAGATTGATGTTGCTATGACTTTGCTATGCTTAATGCTTGTCACTAGGGCCCGAGTGCCATGATTTTAGATCTGAACCTATTATGTTTTCATGAATATATGTGAGTTCTTGATCCTATCTTGCAAGTCTATCACTACTAGGAAAAAGGCTACTAGCAGCGCGGGTAAAATGGCTACTAGTAGCGCGGTTACCCGCGCTACTAGTATCGCGCTACAGCTAATAGTTAGTAGTAGCGCGGGTGAAACCCACGCTACTACTAACATTTTAGTAGTAGCACGGGCGCAACCCGCGCTACTACTAATGAAATAGTAGTAGCGCCTCAGTTTTTTCCCACGCTACTACTAAAAAGTTAGTAGTAGCGTGGATGCAAACCCACGCTACTACTAACGAAGTAGTAGTAAGGTGTTTGGTGTTTTCCCACGCTACTACTAACTAATTTGGAATTAAAAAATAAAATCCACAAATTCCATTCTATACATACAATTCCAACTAAAACGAACACATATTTGCAATAAACCAGCAGCATTACACATCATTACTAGTGCATTAGAGCACGTCCTGTAAGAGCATACATATTGTCATGGCTTTTTATGCCTTCAATTAAAACACCTATACTTCTTGCCAAGTCACTTACTCCCAGCTAGTGCAAACACAGTTACAAGCAAACCAAAATGCATAAAAACACCAAACAGGGGCATCCTATCTCTCCATAAAAACACCAATCAGCGCTACCTCCAATCCTCGGCTCACCGGCCCGGCCTCCAGCATCTGCAGCTATGTGCTCTTCAGCTTGCAATGCCTCCACGCCTTGGTCCAGCATCTCCTTGGCACCTTCCTGAGTGCCTGCCAAATTTATCAAAATTATGCATATTCAGATCATAGATATTCAGGAAATTGGAACGAATAGGAACATACATGACATACGCATTACTATTGGAGAAGACTTGGTAAACTACTTATACAAGAAATGGACAGGAAGAAGCAGAATGGCCAATATTCACATTCGTATAATTTCGACCTCAACAAAATTTGAGACATGTAACAACTCAAACTCAGTTTTGTGTGTTTACAGTGTACTTTGCAATACAAGTTGGAAAGCTGGAATACATAGCCAGAAAAAGATTGGTACACATAAGAATATGATCTTAAAAGAATTTAAGAACCACGGGGGTCTACTGATTTACTTAGCCTACAAGTTTACCTAGCTAGTCTAACAGATTTCTAACTTAAGAAACACAGGGGTCTCAGTAGCAGCGTTCAACAAACCGATTGCTTTGCATTTGGCATGCAGAGTGAGATAGAGGTGGACACGAAGTTCAAAATGTCTAAAAAGCATGGTTGTTCTGCCTCTAATTTATCTTCAGAAGATCAAATCAAAGAGTTTATGAACACAAATTATTCTTGCTACTTAAGTCCTCCGTCCAATAATATAGGATCGTTTTGCAAGATAAAAACTGAGGGAGTATAGGGCAACTCCATTAAGGAATTTTTTGGTGAATACTCCCTTGAGAAATTAATCAAGATCATCACTCAATTCTGCTTTTCTGATTACCACTTCAAAATGGCAACGAAAACAGACAAACAAATGAATCATTGTTATGTTCTTGAGTTTGGTTAGCTTCACCACGAGCACATAAAAAGTAGCAACTACAAAATAGTGTAACAACAACTACCGATCAAAATAATGAACTATCTAGCATGAGACAAGCAGTGTGATAATTATGAAAGCTCGGAGATAACTAGGACGCAACAGAAAGTTTGCCACTTGATACCGTCGGCGTAGATAACAACGATGGTGGGAAGTTGCTATATGCGTGAGTACAATCGACACCGTGTTGAAATGTTCACTCCCTCAAACTGTAATCTCTGGAGGTCCAGGGTGAAATAGCCTGCATCATGACAGCCTCCATACTTATATAGGAGCAAGTACCTCCCTGTTGAACCAATGAAGAAGTATTGATAGTCCAGTAAAATTCTCTTCTCTCTCTGCCACTGGCTGGAACTCCCTCCACTGCTTTCCCTAATGGTATATTTGATGTAAGATGTGTTAAATGCACGCACAAATATCCCAGGCCTGCCTTCCCCTCCCTCCACAATGGCTAGTTCGAAGGCACATATAAGAACAAACAAATTTGTATGACGAAATGATGCAGTGGATTACAGAACTCCTCACTTGTCCACTAGCACATATAAATAATTAACTTCCTACTTACAGTGGCAAGAAAATCTTATATGAATGAGTTGTAATAAATAATGCTAACCATGAAGTCTTCTTCCATATAACAAAGGAGTGACGAAAACAAAAAACCTGTAATTCAAGTACAACATGCAGTTAGTTAATTATTTGCATGTCGACAGTTCTAATGTCTAGCTACAGATCTTCAAAGTAAAGATTGTGAACTCTATTAGACATGATTATATCAATTAGACCAAATATAAAATAATTCAATATGTTGTATATCCGTTAAACGAAGTTCAATCTATCTTCTGATTATTAGTGTTTCAGTTAGGTGATTAGTCCTTCTACGGCCGCCGGTTAATAGGTGAGCCATGACTTTTTACAGTAAAAAATGCAAAGGAAATAACAGGTTACTCCATTGATCTAACTAGTAGTGAATGAGCTAGTGTAGGTTACTCCATTGAATGAACCCAGCTGGTGTATATATATGGACGCAGCCACCACCGGTGGATACAGGTTCTAGTCAAATCAGACTCGCCTATTAACCGACTTGGAGTACAAATTCTTAATCCTGGTATTATACTCCTACCAACGCAGCTAGATAGCTAGGACAAGTCCTAGTCAGACTCAAGTCCGACGGCTGCACTCTGCGGCTGCATTTTTCGCATGACATGGACGGTAACCGCTTCGGCGGTAGACTAAAATTATCGAAATGTTCGTCATGGAACACTGAAAGCAAAAGCAGGAATCACAAGTGGGCAGCAATCAAGAGATCTGGGGAGCTAGCGATGAACACGTGCATGCGTACCTCCGTTGAGCCATATCCCACAGCATGAGGGGCTTCTTCTCCGGCCCCTTCTCGGCCTCGAAGAACCAATAGAAGAGCGCCTTGTCGCCGCCCGTTCCGACGTCGACGTAGCCTGCGTAGTGCTTGAACCCGACCTCTGGTTGCCCGGGGAGCCCAGTGACGAGGTCGCCCTCTGGCCGCGGCGAGCACCACCCTACCCCTCCTTCGCCGCTCCGGCGCCACGGCCACGCGCACACGGCTCCGGGCGCTGCCCTCCCCCGTCCCCCTCCCCCACCCTCTTCCTCTTCCTACAGTGCCCGCCTACACGCTGCAATCGGGGCGGATTCCCCATGGCAGGCTCAGGCCGCAGCTTGATCCTGGCGGGTCAGACCTCCATGGAGGAGACGACGACAGTGATCATGGTGGTCGCAGCCCAGGTCGAGGATGGCGCGCCGATGCCGCCGTGGATCTGGTCTTGCCTGATCTAGGGCCTTCCCTCTTTCCC